TCCCTGATTATATCCTTTACGAAAGCCAGCCTGTTCAACCGGTTGGTAATTATCCATTTTGTAGGTTAACCGGTTATTAATAATTCTCATAAATAGTTTGTATACTTGACTGAGCAACGATATAGGTCTATAATTCTGTAGATCACATTTGTCCCCTTTTTTGTGTAAGAGTATTACTAGACTCTCGTTCCAGTCTTTAGGGATCTGGCTATTATGGAGACATCTATCAAATAGCTCTGTTAGTATAGCTTGTTTTCAAGAGCTCGGCAATTATACCGTCGTGTCCTGGAGCTTTATTATTTTTTAGTTCTTTTAAAGCTCTTTCTATTTCGTATCCCTTAATATTTGGTAGTACTTCTAATCCCACGTTTTTTATTTTTCTTTTGACGTTCTCCTTTGTTGCTTCATTCCTTGCAAGCTGTACAAGGATGTGTAGAAGTCTTCGACAATATTTCTTATGTTATATTTGTCCTTCTCTACCTTATTGTTGGCGTCTTTAATTTTGATGATTTTTTGAACTCCCAGTGCGGGTCTTAGACATTTTAAGCCTCTGTTGTTTTCAATGACTCGCTCTATTAAGTTCTCGTTCCATTTTTGTATGTCGCGTTTTAGTTATTTTCTAATTGTTTTATTAAGTTCTCTATATTCTTGAGTATAGCGTTTGTTTTGCGCTAGTAGTTGTCTTCTTTCCGTCATTAGCTGTTTAGTTTCATTGCTTATTTTGTCTTTAGTCCTTGTTTTCTTTGCGACCTGTACTCCTGATGCGAGAAGGTTTTTATTTAGGTTTTATTAATCTCGTCAATTTGATCTTGATTATGTGAAGGATCAGATTCGAACTTATCCGCTAAGACCTCTCGGAATTGCTCTTCATTTGTTCTTAGTTTAAAAGCATCTATCCTCGTTGTTTTTTTTAAAATCCTCTTTCTCTCTTCTTTCATGTTAATATTTATTTTTGCTCTGACTATACGATGGTCACTGCCCGTTGTTACGTTGTTTATTGTTGTGACGTCTTCAAATATTCATTTGTTGTTTGAGAGAAAATAGTCTATTTCATTTTTGGTAGTTCCGGTAGGTGCGACCCATGTCCACTTTCTGTGTAGAGAGTATGTTACTTACAGAGAAAGTATTGAAGAATCGGAAAATTGCGCTAAAAATAGTAATTCTGTGAGTGACGTAGAATTTGGGAAGAGTCAACCAATCACTTACCCCAAAACGATTACTTAACATAATTTAGTATGGTGTGCACTATGTGCAGTACCTACACTTTCTGCTAAGTATGACAAGGGTATGTCAAATAATTTTAAAATACTGGGTACAAATAGTTTTTAATTTTTTTAAAACACCCTCAGTAAGAAGCCACATTTTATTTAAGTGATTTGGATTAAATCTTAATATTTTGAGCCAAGAAATCTACAGTTAAAATATTGTCAATCGTTAATAAAACACCCTGTATACTTAAAATATTAGTCCCACCCATATGCTGCACAATTAGTGGTTATAACTTGCAGCAAATATAAATATGTGTTAATGTCTTTGAAATATGAGGGAAATATTTTAATAAATATTTACTTACTGTAACCCTTACGTAGATCAATTATGGTCATATTAAAAAAAATACAAAAACGTATGAGTACAAGAAACACAAATATGTATATATATATATATATATATATATATATATATATATATATATATATATATATATATACATTATTACCTATAGTACACTCAAATACATTCAGGCACGAGTACACAGAAACTAACAGTCGAACATTGATACTTGCGCTTACATTTGCGATTAATATACCTACGAATAGTGAACGGCGAAGTCAACAGGATAACTATCAAAATTCATATAAAACGGTAACCAATATCGTATTGAATTTGTTGTTCTCATTGAACTTATTGTTGGACTAATACTAGATGAAGGTTCATATATAAAGATCAAATAAGATAAAACTACTACAATTTCATATTTGAGAACTGGATCAAGATACACTTAATCTGGATTCGAAGTGGACCTCTATCAAACTGAACTGCATCCTGTGAAAGCATGCTCAGTCAATGTTGCGTTTATGTTAGTACAATTGATGTAATTGAATGTACATAAGACTTATATAGCTACAGTAATAACTGTGCTGCAAATTAATATCTAATTATTCGCAATTACTTTGTGATAGTGATCATGCAATACCCATTTTAACATCATAATATTTTCATATATTTTTTCGAGAGGTCCTTCTGTTAACGTCATTAATTTCTTGTTGAATAATTCGATTCCAATCAACTTAAATTGTGTGACTTCGGCGACGCAAATCCATTATTAAGACAGAAATGGTCGACCCATTATGTCCCATATATGTAGATTGGGTAAAAGACTATAGAACCCAGCAGTCTAGGGAAGAACAGTGACTTAAGTATTTTATATAAGAAAAACTGGCTTAAATCAACATTAAGAACCACAATCTACGAAACCAGATAAAAATGATGAATAGGATAATTTTAGAACATCTATTGAAAAAGCAGCAATCCCTTAGCTCCAACTAAGGCAAGCCCCCATATCAGTAAGCACTTCCTCATGAACTGATAGTTACCACTTCTGAATGAGATTCGACATCATCCTCTTGGAAAATTCTGGATTTTAGTTGCCGAAAACATATGACTTTGGAGGGTTCCAAGGCCATGGTGAACATAGATCGAGATATGACAGAGGCATTTGATATTAAAAATGAAGTTAGGTAAGGTAATGCCTTATCAACAATCACTTTTTAATCTAACTTTGGAAGCTATTATCAGGAAATTATATATGAACGGCTGTATCAATACAAGATCAACTCAAATATATAGGAAAAAGCTGTAAATTTGAAACGAAGAGCCGCTGCATTTGGTCTAAGTATATATGAAAAGGAATACAAAATATATGAAGTGCACACAGTTGAATGGATATGAGAATCTAAAGGTAGACAACCAAACGAGTACCTACGTCATTCAAGAAATACAAGCACGGATTCTTAGCGGTAATAAGTGCTTTTATGAATACAAAAACTTAATGAAAAATTAAGTTACTAAATCGCGAATCTAAGCATAGAATCTACAAAATAGTAGTTAGAACAGTTGTCACATATGTAGGTGAAACGTGAACCCTTTCAACCACTGATGAAAATCAATTGAGAATATTTGAGAGCAAAATATTGAGAAAGATATTTGGACCAACCCATTGCAGAGATAGTTCGTGGAATATAAAAATGAACTATAAAGCTGCAAATATCATTAGATTTGTAAAGTCACGAACTAGCTTTGTCACTTACCAAGAATGCCAGATAATCAAGCTGTAAAAGTAATTCAGAGATGGAAACTCTAAGCAAATAGGACAAGAGGAAATCCCCATAAAAGGTGGATAGACGATGTAGAGGAAGATCTCAAAAAACATGATCAGGCAGTGGCGAAGGAAAGTATTTGACAGGGCAGAATGGAAGAACGTTGTCAAGCAGGCCAAGACACACAAAGGGTTGTAGCGTCATTAGAAGAAAAGAGTTGCCGAAGATTTGGCATAGTAACTGGTTCTAAAACATTGTAGATGACTCAATACAAGAGCCACTTTTGTATTTTTTTCTTTACGAGAATTTCGCTCTTTAAGAGCATTTAGTCCTAAGACACATACTTCGTGGTCTGTATTTCTTTGGAGAGCACCGTTTTTTTTTGAAGATTTGGTTCTTATAACCGTTCGTACTTCAGTCAATTGGCTTATTTTATATCTTCTATTCATGTTACCTTTTGGCTCAGGTTTTAGAGTTGACTATTACTTGCGTAACAGGGACCGACGGCTTTACGTGCCCTTCGAAGAACGGTAGATAAAGTAGAAATTAAAAAGTTTTTTGCCCCTATTCGGTAATCGAACCCAGTCCGTCTGGCTTGTTAAGCTAGTATCTAGTCACTGAGCTATGGCCGCTACGGACAGCACCGGTACTTCTACTACATTGTTGTGTTCGTACTTAATCTACTAAATCCAAAACCGAATCCTCCATTTTTCGCTTATATGTGCGGGACATCCAATGTGTAATCATCTTATTCCGTATTTCGTCTCCTTATTTAATAGTGTGGCCACTTCAGATTGTATTTAGCTGGTAGCTTCTTTATTACATCCCTATGATCCTTGTCCATTTAAATTTACTAAATTGATAAAAAGTACACAAAAGTACACATTATTCGTCAAAATTTTGTTAACATTTGTTATGTTTCAATGGGTGCTGCTTTTTCAATGTCACATGTATTACAATACTACTTGATACTTAAATTTCAGGTTATACATAAAAGTTTGTGTATATATACATATTCTCTTAATAATTTAAATTAGTAGTGAAACATCCATTGTACTCTGTATTATATGAACAAGCTCTGCATGTAACTGACCATACAACAGTACACATCTATGAGGAAACGTACAAAAGTTTATGAACTTCGACAACTAAATGTGGAAAGAATACTTCATCTTATAAAGAACTTTACTGTAATTGATTACAGTGTTGTCCAACATAGAATCAGGAACGTTACATGAACTAGTCACTCACTAGTAATTAGCCGTATTGAATGTAAATACTTCGAAGAAAAAAGACGATACAAAAATAATTGAAAAGAATTTAGATCATTTTGCTATATCTTTTTAATACAACATTCTTGCAGTATAACTGGAAACTTTTGCTATTAGCAACTATATGTATTATTTTACCGAACGTAAAAACAATATTGCCTTGGCCATTCCTGCGAATCTCTTCTTTTCTTCTTGGTGTAGCTTTTGTATTAATTTACAGTTGTAGTCAATCGGGTGGTAGCTTTCAAAAATAATATTAAAAATTATGCATAATAAGTAAAAATTATATGTTAAAAAAACTTTTCCGACTTGTATCTTTATCTCATGCTTCGCTAGATATTCGCTGTTATTAGGAATTTCAGAAATATGTCTCTAATGTTTTCGTCCACTTACATACTTTTTATATATACAGGCCTTTGCGTGGTTTAGCGACTTATTGGTTGAACACGCTGAAATATTTTGGTCCTTGTTTGCCGTGGATATGGACAGAGTTCTTGCCGAGCAACCTGCGGATACCTGGGATTCATTTCCACTTTTTCAGGTTTTGAACGATTATCTCAGAGCTGACGGTAAGTACAACATAGTCCAAACATATCCAAATAAACCTAAAATAAAAAAATTATAGTAAAATACTATATTTTTAAGATTAGAGATCATTAAAAAACAGCTAAAGTGCACTATTACTACTATTATAGTCCAGCTGAGATCTGTTTTAAATTGGTCATTTTTCATATGAATATATACACTCACCGGCAAAATTAACGGAACACCTTAAAAATGGGACATGTTAGATGACTCGAATTTCCTAAACCTGTTGTCCGATTTTAGTGATTTTTTTAGTATGTTATAGGTATATTATTTAAGAATATCAATGAAATAATATTGTTGCTAGACAGGTCAATGTCATTTTATACCGGGTGTAACAATCATACTGTGTTTTTTCCTTAAAGTTCGAAACACCCTGTGGAATATTCTAGCATATATAAAATATTGAAATTAAAGCTCAATTATAGTCTCAGGCTTTCTTAACATTTTCTTTTTTGATTCATTTGCTTGTGTTGGATAATAAAAAAGTTAGGTACGTTAACAACTAGCCATGTTTTTCATCAATAAATGCTCATTTTCTTCTTAGTTTCACCAGCATATTTAAAGGAACAACCATAAAATCTGAGTATTTTCTCTCTAGTCTATATACTGTTTAGATAATATCATAATACGAATGTTGGTGAAGTATTTTGAATTTATATTACAATGGTAGTACAATATAAAACCTGTTTAAGAAGAAATAAAACACAAAGATGTCAGACTCAACAAAATACGGATTTTAAACGCATTAACTTTATTGTACAGTTTGAACTTAAATTGGTTTTTTATGCATTTTTTTGGCTTTAATAGCGTGTGTTTCCCCTACGAGCCCTTACAACTGCAGTTATTCGTCTTCTCATACTTCTGATACCGCTATCGATCAGTTGTTGGGCAGTCTCTCCCATTCCTCAATCAAAGCAATTGTGACTTCCTCTCTGTTTTGAATAGCAGGAACCCGTGCCCTAAGTTTTCTGCCTAGCATGTCCCACATATCCTCTATCGGGTTTAGGTCTGGGGAACAAGCTGGCCAATTCATCGTTGTTATACCCACTTGTAATAAGAAATATCTTACACAGTCTGCGACGTGTGGGCTCGCATTATCCTGCATTAAAATAAAATTTTCGCCAATATATGGTGAAAAAGGTACCACATGGTCTTGGAGAATATCTCTGATATACTTATCTGCTGTTAATGCTCCATCATCAATCACCACTAACTCTGTTATTGCTCCCAAACATATACCGCCCCACACCATAATTGAACCTCCACCAAAAGGTACGGTCGTAGTAAAATTGAAAGGGGCATTTCGTTCTCCTTGGCGTTGATACAATCTTTCTCTACCGTCGATGTAATTTACACAGAAACGGCTCTCGTCCGTAAAGAGAATTTGACTCCAGTGGTTATCATTCCAATTTTGATGTACTCGACCAAATTGTAGTCGTGCTAAACGATGGTGTCTCTGGAGTCTGGGAGCTTTTATTGGCACATATGACTTGAGACCGGCTTTTTTAAGTCTCTTTCTTACTATGCGCTCAATTAAATACAAGTTTGTACTTGTTATGAACAGACAGAATGACTGTAAAATGTAAAACACAATACAAATAAACAAATTAATTTGACATTTAAGACTTTCTTGTGACAAGGAGCTTTCAAAGCTATGTAGATATAGTCTATAAAATACAAATATAAAGAAATATTGCATTAATAACAGGTTCCTTTAAATTTGCCGGTGTGTGTATTAAATTGTTAACTTCTCATAGCCTACTTTAGGCTTGTTTATTAAACTAAGCAGAAAATGAGGATTTATTGATGAAAAACATGGCTAGTTGTTAACGTACCTAACTTTTTTATTATCAAACATAAGCAAATGAATCAAAAAAGAAAATGTTAAGAAAGCCTGAGGCTATAATTAAGTTTTAATTTCAATATTTTATATATGCTAGAATATTCCACAGGGTGTTCCGAACTTTAAGGAAAAAACACAGTAGGATTGTTACACCCGGTATAAAATGACATTGACCTGTCTAGCAACAATATTATTACATCGATATTCTTAAATAATATACCTATAACATACTAAAAAAATCACTAAAATCGGACAACAGGTTTAGGAAATTCGAGACATCTAACATGTCCCAATTTTAAGGTGTTCCGTTAATTTTGCCGGTGAGTGTATTTTGCTCGAATTACTTCAGATTGTACCTTGTTCTTAATGGTGCTTTAACAAAATCTAAATAAAATCGTAAATTTTTGCTTTTGCGCCCATATAACTAGAGAGATATTGCACCTACAAAAAAAATATACAAAGAAAAAGTTTTGGTTTTTTAATTTTACGTAATTGCTTGCAACTAAAAATTTAATGTTTACTGTTTAAGAAAAAAGCAATAATTGGAAAAAAAATTCCAAATAAGATGAACCCGTCGAAGTGTGAACTAGTTTTTAGTTAGATGATTTTTATGACATATGTTGCAAGATTTAGGAGATGTTTTAAGTCATGATATTTTTTTCCTGGAATGCTTACGGACTTTACTACATATACTTAAATTTGGGCACGTTCATAACATCAGATATGGAAATTATGTTAATTTTTTTTAAGTATCCATGTTTCACACTTTCCCGTCAATTTGGGGTAAGTGTGATAATGAACTTTAGCTTACAACAACGTGTGTTATTTTTGGGGCAAGTGTAAATAATTTAATAGTGCAAGAAAAAAACGATTTTTTAGTGCTTCAAAAATTTTAATTTATTTATTTTTAAGCAAGTTACACATTCTGTCTTTAACGGGTTCTGGTAAAGTCTTTACGATATCGTCTTCAACTATCTATTAGATATCCATGTCTTCTATATTAGGTCAAAAAAAGGTGTTACTACTCTTTTTATATCATAAAATGCAAATCTTCCATTCACGTTCAATCTTGTTAACAATTCTCCCAATAAAATGTTAATATGTTTTTGATGTGTCTACAACAACCCAATATCCAGCGCGATTTGGATTTTTCCCAACTCTCCCACTGTTGGCACTTCTTTCTCAATTATTTGCTCGTTGTCTTCAAATATTTCAGGATCTAAATCATCTTCAGAGTCAACATATTCTACCAAATCTTCTTCCGATTCTGAGCTACTAAGAGTTTCTTCTCGTTTCTTAATCCTCTTCGTTTTTTGAATTGTTACTTCTCTTTTCTTTTTGCGTTCTTCTTCTTTTGTTTGTTTTCCTATTTCTTTTATGTTCTTCAATCTGTTTTCTTCTGTCAGTTTATTCAGAACTTCTTCGGAAGTACCGACTTCTGACCCTGTAGCTACTTTTTTCTTTTTGATCCCGAAGGACTTTACTTATTTGTCTGTTTAACAGTGTTTAATAGCAGCTCTTCAAAACTTATTTTTGAAGAACTACTACTTGGAGTTGCATCAGAAATATTGGTTGTATGGTTTTCCACAATCTGGTCTTTATTTACCGACTGATCAATATTACTGGCGGTAGTAGCATCCGTATGATTATTTGCGGTTTCAACTACAACTATTGTTTGGTCTTCTAAACTCTTTTATTCTTTCCATCTTTTTAGGCTTTCAGGGTGATATTTTTCCTCTGGTATGACATGACGGTTAAATGGATATATACCAGCTTTTCTAAACGCGTTTTTGATCATTTCTACGCTTACGTTTTTCCATGTAGTGTCTATCGTCAAAGAAGACTGTTTTTTTGGAATTTTAAGGCCAGTATTATGTCTCTGCCAGTTGTTGGTCCCAAGCGTCTTTTAGAGACTTAAATACGGCTAAATCTAAAGGCTGCAGAAGGTGGATGGTATGAGGAGGAAGTTTGATGATTGTGATATCATTCTTCTTCTTCTTCATGTGCCTTATCCGTTCCGAACGTTGGCAATCAACATGGCTATTCTGACTTTGTTTACGGCAGATCTGAATAGTTCAGCAGATGACAATCCGAACCATTGCCGCAAGTTTTGGAGCCACGAGTGTCTTCTCCTCCCTGAACCCCTTCTGCTGTCTATTTTCCCTTAAACGATCAGGTGTAGTACTCTATATTTATTATGTCTCATAACGTGACCCAAGTATTAAAACTTTCTTTTCTTTATACTTATTCCTACCTCTCTCTCTTTACCTATCCGGCGTAGTACCTCTTCGTTGGTCACGTGCTCAGTCCAGAATATACGTAATATACGTCGGTAAGCCCACATTTCGAAGGCCTCTACTTTTTTCATCAATGTTGCGGTCATTGTCCACGCCTCCATTCCATATAACAAAACCGGGAATACATAACATTTCAGAAGTCGAATTTTGAGAGGTAGGGTGTGGCTTTTAGAGGTGAAAATTTGCTTCATGCTAGTGAACGATGCTCTTGCCTTTTCTACTCTTATACGTATTTCCTTCGCTTGATCCCAATTTGAGTTAACTGTTGTTCCCAAGTAGATGTACGAATCCACGTGTTCAATTCTTTCATTGTCTAATATCAGTTGCTGTGGTGGTTGTTGGGTTTTGCTTACTAACATCCATTTGGTTTTTGTGATATTTAGTCTGAGTCCGTATTGTGCACTTGTTTTTTGTATCTTACCCATTAGGCAACTCAGTTCCTCCATGCTACTTGCTAGAATTACAGTGTCATCAGCATACCTTATGTTATTAATTATTTCTCCATTTATCTTTATGCCTTCTGTGCTTTCCTCCAGCGCTGTCTTAAATACTTCTTCTGAGTATATATTAAAGAGAATAGGAGACAAGATACAGCCCTGTCGTACCCCTTTCTTGATCTCAATTTTATTGGTCAATGTAGATCCTACTTTCACTTTAGCTGTTTGACCCCAATAGAGACTCGCTATTGTTCGAATGTCTCTGTAGTCGACTCCGATCTTATGGAGAACTTCAATTATCTTTTCGTGCTTTACGTTATCGAATGCTTTTGCGTAGTCTATAAAGCATATGTACACGTCTTTGTTCATATCTCTGCAGCGCTGGATGAGTACCTGTAGACTAAAAAGTGCTTCTCTTGTCCCAAGAGAATTCCGAAACCCAAACTGCGAATCTCCAATGTTATCCTCGCATTTTTTGCTTATTCTGTTGTAAATAACCTTGGTGTATGCCTTCGAAATGTGGTTAATTAGACTTATTATCCGATGTTGATCACAAGACTTGCTTTGTTTTTCGGTAGGCAACAAAAGTTGACTCTAGCCAGTCTTCAGGAAACTCCCCGCTGTTATAAATATTGTTAAAGAGTCTGACGAGTGAGTCTAGAAATTGACTGTTCGTTTCGCACAGCATTTTCAATACTTCCCCGTATACGTTATCGTTGCCTGGTCTTTTGTTATTTTTAAGACCCTTTATAGCATTCTCCACTTTCGATTTTAGAATAGAAGGGCCAGTATCATCATTGCTCAGTGTACACCCACTAGGACGGTCATCATTAAACAGTTGGTCCACATAAGTTTCCCAGATTCTAACTATTTTGTCGGGGCCTAGTTGTAGATTTCAATTATCATCGCACAGCCCTTTCGATAAAATATTGTAACTTTTCTTTGATATCGGATATCATTCTGTCGTGCTAATTTAACTAGTTCAATACTAATATGGGTACTATGACGTCATATATCAACAGTACCGGCCTATTTTCTCCTAATGCGGGAATACGCTATACTTAACTTAGACATGCAACAAAAAAAGAGTTTCAGAACCGTATTTATATTTACCTAAAAATTTATAGGGTGTCGACCATTATATACTTACCCATTCCAGTGCTCACACAAACTCTAATAACGCGCGTGTGTTATATTGAGTATCCTGCATTTTTCCTTTACAAGTAATATATTATTTCTTTTCAAAAACTGGAAAGGTCTGCTATGCTACTTTATTGTTTTTGAGTTATTTTAAATTATTATATGTGATTTCAATTCCAATTGAAATCTGAGTTATATAAAAATGTTATCTTCTTATTTTAGATAATTTGAAAAACGGAAGATTTCACCAACACTTACGAGACACCTTTGCACCACTAGTAGTTAGATATGTGGACCTTATGGAGTCTTCGATTGCGCAGTCTATCCATAAGGGATTTGAAAAAGAAAGATGGGAGATAAAAGGGTATGTGTACTTTAAACTCTTTATGAAGGCTATTTTATGTTTTATTGCTTCTTGTTAAGCGTCATCTCTGTGCAAGACTCTTCTTATTCTTCTTTTTATTTCCCCAGACAAGACACTACTTGGACTGTCACTTATACCAAACCATATCCTTTTAATATTTCAATAAACACCAAGAAACCCTGTGCTTTAGATAAAAGTCATCAAATTCCTTATGCAATCTTTTACGTAATTTTAACCTAAGTGACCCAATTTTTGAAAGGAAGAAAGGTACTACGCAAGATGTTCGGATAGGCTCTATGACAACAGAATATGTAGGATAGATTTAACTTTGAACTCCGGAATATCTACAAGCCTTAGTTGGCTTGTAGATATACATAGATATAGCCTAAGAAACCGTCTGCAATGTGCAGGACATATAGACCGGGTCCCAGAATAGAATATGACAAAAAAGATTCTAACAGCGCAACCGGTGAAAATCAAAACACGGGGTAGATCAAAGTTAAGGTAGATGGACAAAGTAATGTTGCCGAGAGGGGGCATTTGGGCCTGTAGGACCCATCGCCGGCTCTTCGGGCTTCTTCCTATCTCCGGAATTTGAACGGGTATTGACCATCTCTGATTTGCCGCTGGTATAAGGGTAAAATACCACTGCTGTTATAAATAACAGTTCCAGTGACAAATATCTGTTATAGGTAACGGTTCCAAGGAACAGTTTCAAAGTAACAGAGCAAAGATGGAAACAGATAAGTAAAAATAATCTAAGTATTCCTTGACTTACGGAAGAAACAACTTATAATAGAAAACAAGAAATCAAATACAGAAAAGATGTGAAAATATTGCTAAGCGTTTCTTGACTTACGGAAGAAACTTAGCATAAAATGGAAAATGAAATAGACAAATATATAAGTATTCTCTTAACTTACGGAAGAAAATATCTTAGATAAAATATCAGGAATAATAATGCGATATGAAAATATTTCTAAGTGTTCTTTGACTTACCGAAAAGAACTACTTAGATACAAAGCACAAAATCAAATATATAGAATAGAAAAAAAAGCAAGATAAATATTTCTAAGTGTTCTTAACTTACGGAAGAATAGCTTAGATAAAAATACAAGAAAATAAACAATCAAAATAATCAAATAAAATAGCAACCAATCAGTACATGAACAAATATGTAATATTCTAACCTGACAAGATCTGAATATACAATAATGCTGAAATAAAAGAAATGGTATGCAGGAAATCAGAAATAAAACAATAGCTTAGTCGGAACAATAATAGCACCGACTAGGTCTACAGTAGAAGAGGCAAGCTCGACTGACCGATGAGAGAAAATCCACCTGCTTTTATGTAAAACAAATCCTTTGTTTTACACAGCAAAAGTGGATTTTCCTCCGCATCGAGCCAATCAGAAATTCGGATTTGGCCACACTTGGAATTCCCAAGTATTTGGACCAATCTCCGAATTTCCTGATGTGTTCGGCACGGCTGTCAGCTCCCGACTGACACGCCTCCGGACGACAGTAATACGGGATGCTGAGAAGATCTGTGTTACCAATTGGAAAATTCAAGGAAGAAACAGAGCAGAATGGCGAAGGAAGCTTGAGATAGTAGACGACCTTTAAGAGCTATAGCAATATGACAATGATGATGATGAAGAATCTAAGTGACCACCTAAAAGTGAGTGGCGAATAGTAGAATTACATTTAGAAATTGTGGCTTGCTTTTAACCTGTTCAATAGTGGTGACGCAATGGGCCACTGCAAATTATCAAAACAAATTGTAAAGGATCGCCCTTCTCTTCGACAATAATCATATAACAAACTATATGCTAAAGCCTTGATTTATAATAAATATTGTGGCTATAAGCGCACAAAACAAAAAATCGGACAAAATCAGACTATATAAAGACTAGAGACTTCTCTGGGAGTAGGTAAAAACGTCTAAGGAGGATTCTTACTGGCCTAGGAGCAGTTATTCTCAGTGGATTTTAGGAATAAAAATAATGGGCATCATGCAAGATATGTTACAATTTTTATATGATATTAACCACAAAACTAAGTAAACAGTAACTATTTATTAAAAATGGATCAGCAGGGGAGAGCTTTTAAAGTGTCTCTAAAAAAACAAAAAAAAAGATCACAACTTGAGTCCATTCCATGTTAAACCCGATATGAATAATGTCACTAACCGCTAGTTCAAACATTGACCAACTAGTACACATCAAAATTCTTACAAATAGAAAAAATAGCTGTAGTTAAAAAGCCTCTCACTGTAGTGCCACATTCCTTGCTTACAAATATGGACAATTTCTTTGACCATTTTCCATTCCGGCAAATATCAAAGTGGAAATATATGTTTAACTTATGACTTTATGCAAATTTCTCGAGATTCATTTCCGTATTTAAATGATTTAACAGCAATTTCATAAAATTTTAAAAACAAAGAATCAAAAATATAATTCTTAACCCTATCTGGCTGATTGATCGAAGTGTGGTCCGACTGATCGCTTCAAACGACGATAAAAGATAAATCCGAAATCGGATCTCTCTGAGACTTAACCACGACCATGGCCTGTTCAATACACGAAACTAAATATATTATGTTCTATTAGTGAAACCTTAAACAGGCCTTATAACTTATAATTTATTGCGTTAATCTTTTTAAGTTATAACAATCAACTTACGAGCTCAAGAGGAACTTAACTTTACTGTATACTACCTTAAAAACCAAGTGTATATACATACATCAATAAAACTACTGACTAGACAACTGTCCATAGCAGGACAATATATGGAAGGTACAAAACATGATTCAATACGCTTCCTAGTGGCGCTTCTGCTGTGATCTCCCTTAAATCTTCCCTTCCAAAGTATTTACCAGAAATAATCCTCTTCTTCCTCAGCTTTTCTCCTTTCAGGGGTCGCTATTTCTTACTCTTTGTCGCTACTTATTTCTGTTCATCGAGTCTTCACCTAAACCTTCCTCTCTTAAGCATTCTGGCACACAGTCTTTCCATCTTCTCCTCAGTTTTCGTCTACCTCTCCTTCCATCAGCTCTATCAGCTCTAACTTCTAACAGCTCTATCCTTCGTCCCACATAGTTTTCATTTCTAAGTCAGATATAACCAAACCATTGCAGTCTTTATTCTTGTATATACATTTTCCCTCTTCCCGGCCCTTTCCCTAATCAAGTCATTCCTGATCCTGTCCCTTCTAGTCTTACCCAATGTCCACCCTAACATTTTCATTTTAGCTACCTGCATCCTCTTTTCCATATTCTTCTTTATACGCCACACTTAACCGCCGTACCATATATCACCATACTCCTATATATCTTTCCTTTCAGCGCTTTCCCCATTTTTTGATCACAAAGTATCCTGCTCATTCTATCTCCCCAACCATTCCTCGTCCTCCTACCCACATATACTCCCTTTTAGACCTGCTAATCTTAAGTCCTCTCTCTTCAATAGCCCTCCTGCAACCCTTCAACTTCTCTTCCAACATATCTTTGCTCTCCTCTACAAACACGATATCATCAGCAAAGAGCATTGATCAAGGAGTTACTCCCTTACTTTCTCTATCAGTACATGCATAACAAAATTAAATAGGCAGGGACTCAGTGAAGAGCCTTGATGCAAACAACCGTCACTGCAAAACGTTCGGTCAATCCGGCACAAGTCCCTACTTTGGTATACGCTCATTTCTCTTTCTCTTACATACATCTCCATAGCTCTTGTTTAGGAACTGTGTCAGACGCCTTCTCAAGATTTATAAATACCAAAAGTATCTCTCTTTTCTTCTCGCCGTATTTCTGTTAATATATTTCTCGCCATATCATATTATTTACCCGAAATAATAGGATTGATATATTTATGAATATTGTTTAGGTATAAAAGTTTTTAATTGGTATATCCATCTCTCATGACACACTTTAATGAAATCTTAAGCTAAATATTAAGTGACTTTTAAAAATAATATTTTTTTAGTATGGGATGTGCAACATCTGAGGATTTATTTTGGAAACTAGACGCTCTTCAGTCTTTTATAAGAGATTTACATTGGCCGGATGCAGAGTTTCGCCAACACCTAGAACAACGCCTAAAACTCATGGCCTGTGATATGATGGAATCATGCATACAAAGAACTGAATCAGCGTTTCAACAATGGTTAAAAAAGTCAGTTACCTTCATTTCTACAGATTACATTATACCCTCTGAAATGTGTGCGATGGTCAACGTAATATTAGATGCAAAGAATCAATCGTTGAAGCTTTGTGCCGTTGATGGAATTGATTTGGTATGTTTAAAAATTTCTAATGCTAATCAGCTTTTATTTATTGCTATTATATTTACAGCACCAGTATCATACTAAAATTGATGACATGATTGAAAAAACCAATGCTAATATAGTGCAAGGTCTAACAGGTAAATTGATGTCGGTGTTAGAAGCTACACTATCAAAATTATCCCGATATGATGAGGGTAGTCTTATTGGATCCATCTTAAGCTTTACTGTAAGTCAATAAAATATTTACTTTAAACATAAAAATGATTACTCTTAAAAATGTAAATGATGTGAATAATGTATTTGATCGCCATGTCACTTCGATATTCGATGATTAGATGAATCAGAGGTTGGTGCTGTGCGTTTGGATTTTTTTGGTTTTGGGTTTTGATTTTGTGAGATATGGGTGGGGGAGTAAATAATGGGGTATTTGTATTTAGATTTTCGATGGAGGAGATAATGTTTCGTCAATGCTGCTTTTCACAGATGAACAGGGTGAATCTTTCTTGGTTCCTAGTGAAGCTTGTGGGTCCTTTTCTTCCGATGGTTTTACAGTTGAAGTTTTAGTGGAAATGTTCTCATCGGCAATTGTAGTTATTTAGCATTTCAAGAGGTGGTTGTAAAATTTCTGGAATAGAAGGAAATGAAGATGGTTTCGAAGTAGGTGTAATATTTGGATCACCTACTTCAACTTGATGTAATTGACTATCAATATCGATAGAAGACTGCGAATTTGGCGTAGAAGTAGGATATTCAGCATAGTTGAATTTTGGGCCTGAGTGGTTGATGGTATACTGTTGATGTTTGGACAATTGTTTGAAATATGGCCTAATTGCAGACACATATAACAAGTCAGATTGTCTTGAGATATGAAAATTCTGCAACAGGTGTTTTCATAATTTATTTGAGTAGAATCTGCGATAGTGATATTATGTGGACTGACAAATACCTGTCTTCTAAAGCTTCTCCTGTCTATGTGGTTATACTTGGGTAGGATTTTTTAAAACGTTAGGGAAACGAGGTTTAAGCCCATTTCTTTTAATTCTCGGATAAGTACATCATGGGGAATTGTTTGACTGACCTTAGATAATACTAGCCGAACTTTTGTCAGGGCCGAGCTACTCCCTAATTTTAATTGATAAGTGAAATATTTCCACCTATTCATTAACAGTTTCATCTAAAAACTAGCAATGGCAATTTAATTAATATTTATCGAATAACAGGAATAATTATTTTCAGAATGTATCTGGGTCTGGGAAGGATATGGGACAAGGATATGTTAACTTTACACGAAATTGTATGGACCAGATTCGTCAGAAAATTACTGACGAACTGTGGATTCTAACTTTTTTTGAACAGTGGTATACAAGTCAAATAAATATGCTCTGTAACTGGCTTTCTGAGAGATTGGATCATACTTTGCATCCCTACCAATGTACGTGCCTTGCTCATATTATAAAGGTAAGTGAGACTCGATTCCTGTATATTACCATTATAATTTGTAATAACCTTTCCTTTTACTTGTTAGAAATGATATTAGCTTTGAAATATTCTTTACTTTGATTAGTTTGTATTGTTTTTGTGTGAATGGTGTGAATGTGTGGAAACATCAAAAACCAATAGATAGTAAAAGTACTACTAGAAATAACAAAAACGAAGATATTTTGCTCAAAAAACTGAAAAATACTCCTAGACAGAAAGAAGCGAAAGCATACAAAACACATATAAGCACAGGCGTGGCCACTACGGATGCCGTGAAATTTTCGAGGGCGCAAAAATTGAGATCGTTCACTTCTTCAAACAACAACTAGAGTGTCCACAAGAAAAATGAAATTCACATAGTTCACATGAAAAATAAAATTCATTCGCAGTAAAAAAATCCTTTATTAAAGGTATATATATATATATATATATATATATATATATTATATATATATATATATATATATATATATTATATATATATATATATATATATTATATATATATATTATATATATATATATATATATATATATATATTATATATATATATATATTATATATATATATATATATATATATATATATATATATATATTCCACAAAATACCCTTTCGGATTACATCATAGAAGGTTTTCGGACTAATAAGTCCATAATCAGTGCTGTTACCAGGTATACATGAGTGAAGCCACTAAATATGTAGATAAAATCCCTTTAAATGATGTTGACTTTGTTAATTAAAACATATTTATCGATCAATTTAAATAATGTTGTTTTAAACATATTTAAATTAAACATAATACATAAGAAAGGAGACCGAACAGACCTAAACAACTACCGTCCTATTTCCTTTTTGTCACAACTATATAAAACCTTCACAAGAATAATAAACAACCGACTAACCTATAAACTTGATAACTACCAACCAGTGGAACAGGCCGGATTCAGGAAAGAATACAGCACAATCGACCATCTACATGCGCTTAAAATCTTAATTAAAAAAACAAATGAATACAACCTTCCGCTGTACTTAGCATTCGTAGATTATGAAAAGGCTTTCGACAGCCTTGAACACTGGGCGGTTCAAGAAGCTCTGATCAAGAGTAGAATAGATTCAAGATACCGACAATTGATACATGATATTTACCAAAACGCAACCATGACCGTAATTCTGGACGACAAATTAATACCGGATAATATAATAGTTAAACGAGGAGTCCGACAAGGCGATATAATTTCACCTAAACTGTTTACCTTGACCCTCAAAGACATAATAAAATCAACAGATTGGGAAAACAGAGGAATATGTATTAACGGAAAATACCTAAATCACCTTAGATATGCGGATGATATACTCCTGATTTCCTCGGAACGACAAGAACTGGAATTAATGCTGAATGAACTTCATGAAAAATCACTGCAAAAAGGCCTAAAAATTAACTTCAACAAAACAAAAGTAATGACAATAATGAAAAAATGGAAATGGACATGGTGCACTGGGTGTACACCATGGTGATCAAAACCTTAATTACCTATGCAGTGACAATGTGATGGATTAAGACACTTCAAACAGCTGCAAAAGCCAATTTAACAAGGTGCAAAGACTTGTGTGTATGGGGATAACTGGTGCCATGCATACTACTCCAATAGCAACTATGGAGGCTCTACTAGGCTTGTCTCTCATGCACTTGATAACATAAGGAAAAGCAAGATTGGGAGCCTATAGAATAAAACAATCACTGAAATTTTAAAATAAAAGATCAGGACATATGAGTATCATAAGGACTGTGACGAAGAACAGTTTTGATGAAAAACTCCATACAGGGTGTCTTCCAGACAGGAATGTGTGGAAAAACAAGGAGTACCATAACCATAACCATAGAGTTTATCTTATATACAGATGGATCCAAAACAACAGATGGTGTGCGGGCAGAAATATACTCCAATAATCCAAAAGCATTGACTTGCAGAGGAACTCCAGCGTTTTTCAAGCGAAGATTCATGCGAAACTACAATCTGCAAAAGGAAATAATGAGAGAGCTCTTACAAAAGAGCAGATCCATATATTGTTTGACAGCCAAGTGGCACTAAATGCACTGGCGTGTCAGGAAGTGACGATCGACTTGCAAAAGAGGATAGAATAAATTAAACGAACCGCCTGTAACTCTGGAAGTATTAAAGGCTGCAGTCCATAGGGCTGTAGAGGAATGGATCGAACAGAGTCATAAATGATATTGGAAGAAAACTCCCAAAACAAGCACATGGAAAATGTTCATTGGTGGATCAAGTAGAAAAGAGCAGAGAAACTGCTTCATATGGGTAGGAACAGACTGAGAACAGTAATAGGAATGTTGACCATGCATGCAGCAGTAAGAATTCTTAAATAAAATAGGCATTTACAATGGAGATCTTAACTGCACACTCTGAGGAGTGTGGAGTGTGGAGCAACTAAGAGGTGGCCCTGGTATATTTAACGCACCAAGCAAGATACCTAAAACATCAAAATTCTAGACCGGATGTAGGAAACAACAATGGGCAGCAAACACAATCAGCTTCAGCTTCAGTGATACCGGAGATATTTTGGATTCGACGGGCTCAGGAGAAAAACGACTACTACAAATCTTTGCATATTACAATGGTACGGAAAATCGAAATCAATATTTAAAGCTGCTGTCAATAAAGCCATGAATATGGTTATGGAACTAATAGAAGAAAAACATTCTGAATTGTTGTAGGGCTATAAAAGTAAAAATTTTAATAATACTATAGGCTCTAAACTTTTTAATAAACTCTATTATGTTATATAACTCTAAATTTTAAGTCGTTATTCACATAATGAGGTTGCAGATAACCTGGTTTATTGCAGTAATATATTTTTTCAGAAAATTTATACTGATTTTGAACTTCAAGGCGTTATGGAAGATAAGTTAAATTCTAAAGCGTATCAGACAATAGCTCAAAGAATGACAACGGAAGAAGCCACGTGTGCGCTAACTATGGGACAAGCTGAAAGGTAATAGCAACAATATGTAATTTTATGTTCACTGTTATTGGTTCATCTCATTTCTATGTCTTAGAATGTGCACGTAATAAGTTGAACTTATTTATTTGTATAAAAGTTTTCGTTCAGCATCGATTATTCAGAGCAGTTTTTATAAAATTTAGTCTACTTTCTTCTTTTTCTTCTGGAGCTAGACACAATTTGTCTGTTGTTACTTGATCATGAATCTTGTGGATCAATCTGTAGATCTCGGCCAAGAACATTGTCCCAAACTGTAATATTTACCAAGTTTTTTTATCCGTCCTAGGGCTCCTGATTCGGCTCCGGTTACAGTTCGTGACATATTAGTGATGGACCAGGTTTCATCGGTTATGGGTTGGGTAAATCCTATATGAACCTATTTTTTTACTTTAATCGCTTCGAAATATCATTAGAAATGGGACTTTCACTAAGGTGGGCTAAATTTTTTTATTAGAAGACACTAGATATAGAAGTATTTGAAAATTTTAAATAAAATACCCTGCATTTTATAATTTTAACAAAAAAAGTAAATTCTCTTTCAAATGGTAAAAAAGTTAATCATTTTGGAGGTAATTGTAGTTTATTATTAAAGGTAGAAGTAATGGATTTTAGCAGCTATGAGTCATACCAACGCAGTAAAAAAAATCGCCTCGTATTTCTGTGAACAAGCAAGCAAGCGATTTAATTAAACCCAGCCTGTGAGAAATGTTCACCCTTAAGAATTACGTTCGGGTGTAATAATTTATTGGAGCGAGGTATATTAACTCGAGCAAAAAGAGGAGTCACTCCACAGCGCTCCAATGCTCCAGACCATCCCTTTCCCCCCTATAGCACTCTGATGCGCGATAGTGGCACAACTATTAACCAAACGCTCTTCATGTGGAGGTCCTGGGTAAAAGAACCCCAACATGATTTCCTAACCGAATTCAAAACTCAGGACAGCGCATTGTCACTATATTTCTGTTATCTTAATGTGGCTTACTTGGGCCTCAATTTTCCGCTCTGAGCCAGGCTCAGTTCGGCGACTTGGTGCTCAAGGGGTTGGGCCCTACGTGCCCGGATTTTTTGGGATTTTTGTTAATTTTTTCTTGTCTGTTTGCGCCGGTTTTTGTTAATATTTTTAAATTTTTTTGGTGGCCGAGGCCGGTTTTTTGTGTGTTTTTTGGTTTTTTTTGTAAGTAGCCCTGAAACAAAAATCAAAATTAATGCAATATCTACATTATAACATTGATAAATATATAAAATATGAAACAATACATTGTATTTTGCGAGTGTTTCGAGCTACGAACTGTCCTCATTGTGTACTGTTGTTGTTTTTTGAAGTGTTTTCTCTCTGGTGTGTATTTCGTGTGTATACAAGACCTTAATAAGACCGGTTTTGATATATGGGGCTTAAACGTTGACCTTATGTCAAAATGATGAAAGATGTAGGTCCACATCTCGAATGCTTGAAGTCGATCGCTCACCTCTTTCTTTAAGGTCCAGGCCTGCACCCCATACAGCAGCACCGAAAACATATGAACGTAATATTCTGATTTTGAGTTGCAAACTAAGGTCTCTACTGCATAATACTTTTCTCATCTTATTAAATGTTGGTCTAGCTTGTCCAATTCTTATTTTTATTTCCACTGTATACTCGTTATTTTCATTAATAATTGTACCAAGATATCTGTATTTTTTCACTTTTTCTATTGGAACCCCTCTTATGATTAAAATGTCTTGTTGTGTTTTGGAAATTGTAATAAATTTTGTTTTATTGGCATTAAGCGATAGTCCACTTTCCTCACTACCATTTACTACATAATCTAAGAGTGTCTGTAGATCTTGTATATTCTCTGCACTTAGTATAGTATCATCGCCTTATCTCATATTGTTGATGGGTCTGCCGTTGACTTTTATTCCAATTGTTACATTTTCGAGTGATATTTCTTCTGAATTATTTCTTCCGAATATAGATTGAACAATATGGGGGAGAATATGCAACCTTGCCGTACGCCTCGTTTTATCTCTACCTTCTCCGAAAGTTCTGTGCCTACTCTGACTTTTGCTGTTTGGTTAAAGTAGAGATGAGTTATTATTCTTAAGTCTTTTTTGTCAATGTGTTTATCTTTAAGTAACTGTACTTATAAGATGGTTGTGTCGGACCTTATCGAACGCCTTATTGTAATCAATAAAACAAACATAGAGTGGTTGGTTTACATCCATACATCTTTGCATGAGGACGTTAAATCCAAATAATGCCTCTCGTGTACCCATGGCATTCCTAAATCCAAATTGGGTTTCAGTGATGTCTTGTTCCACTTTTCTGAAAATTATTAAATATATCATTTTTAAGAATATTTTTAGTGTGTGACTTATTAGACTAATTATACGGTGGTCATTACATTCCCTTGCATTAGGTTTTTTTGGTAATGTAATAAATGTTGATTTGAGCCAATCTCTAGGAATAATACCCCTATTATATATAGTATTATATAAGTCTACTAATACATTGATCTGATCTTCTGATATTAATTTAATTATTTCAGTTGGAATTGTGTCAGAACCCGTAGTTTTATTAGATTTTGCCAGATTTATTGCATGTATTATTTCAACCTTAGTTATATTTGCACCTATATCATGTTCCTCGCAATTGTTCATGCTATCTTGTTGTGTCCTGTCATCTTCAAACAATTCTTTGACGTATTCTCTCCATCTGTTTAGTTTGCCTTTGATATCAGATATGATTTTACCATTCGTATCAACCAGAGTGTTACTATTATTGGACCGTCTTACACCTACTAATTCTTTAATCTTTTTGTGCAATTCAAAAATATCATGATTTCCCTGGAGTTCTTCTATCTCTAAACATTTCTCGTTGTACCAGTTCTCTTTAGCTGCTCGTATTTTTATCCTGATCTCCTTGTGTGTGGCTTTGTATTCGTTTACATTTTTGTTTTTGTATGATCTTCTTTTGTCCATTAGTTGCCGGATCTCAACTGTCATCCATGGAGTCTTAACTTCATCGATGTGTTCTTAAATGTTTCCCATTTTTTGTTGGAATGTTCATTAGCAATGATTATTGTTTTGCTTAACTCTTCGTTAATTTTCAACGTTAGTTCTCCTTTTATATTCTGGTGTTATAGCAGAGTGCTTATTTGTTGTGTCTTTTGTTAATGTTTTATTTTCTTTAAGTGGATTTCGAATTTTACGATCACTGGATTGTGGTCTGATGACACATCTGTTCCTGGATATGTCTTTTCCGATTTTATGGAGTTACGGTATCTCTTATTGATAAGGATTTAATCTATCTGGTTTCTGATATTTCTTTTTACTATCCGCAGGTGATTTCCATGTGTATAATCTACGTGGTGGTAACTTAAAGAATGTATTTGTCGCTATCATTTCAAACTCTTGACAGAGTTCCGTCAGTCTTTCCCCTCTTTCGTTCCTTATTCCTAGTCAGAATTCACCAATAATGTTTTGGAATTTACCTTTTCCTAATTTGGCATTAAAATCCCCCATTATTATTGTTATATCTCTATTATTGGTGCCGTCAGTGCTTTCTTGATGTCATTGTATAACTCTTCTATTTCATTTTCATCTGTATCTGCAGTGGGAGCGCACACCTGTATGATATTAAGAGTTATATGCGCTGTTTGGACTGTAATAATTAACACCATATCCGATATAGGAACAAATCAAGTTACAGCCTGGCAAAAACTGCGATCAACCACTATCGCGATTCCGTTATAGTGATGAATATCTTTTTGAGTAGATATTCTTGTATATATTTCTTGAGTATAGGTAAAGAAATAATAAATAAGACTTACTCACAATCAATTTAATTTAACTATTATTGAGTAATTGTTTTAAATAAATAACACACATTTCAAAAATATATCTCTGGAATAAGTACAAATAGCCTTTAATAACACAATAGTATATTACATCACTTACATTTAACAAACAATCTCACACATATCTCAAATTCATTGGATCAAATCTATCTCCTCAAGAACTTCCCGTTTACTGTCAAACAACTGCAATAATAGTATTGAGTTCTCCATTCAACAATATAAAGTAATTTCAAACATGTTCTACCATCCATCTATTAATAGAGTACCGGCATGTAAGTAATGTTTATTTTATTTATTTATTTGCTTATTTATTAATTTATTACAATCGAAGAGACTATTTTATAACAATTTGTGGGCCTTACCTTGTCTGTTTAACCTTTTAAAAAAAAAATGTATACCTTTTATTCAACTTACTCATTTAAATAAAACCACAGACATGTAATATTAGCATAATTATTGTAATTTATAACATCTAATTTGATTATCTTTATTAGACAATACCCTAATATGGGTTTTTATCATTTCAGCATTTGTTTAACTTTGTATCGAGACCTGAAGATGCTTTGCATATTGTAGAAAGCGAAACCGGTCGTCTGATAGTTAAATTAAATTGATTGTGAGTAAGTCTTATTTATTATTTCTTTACCTATTTGAAATGGACTCACACAAGCAACACATTCATGATTTCTTGAGTAGTATATTTTGGCACCGTCGAGACTTCGATTTCGCCAGCTCTAGGCCATCTGGTCTCGCTTAGTCCCATTTTATTGACTTTAAGTTACCTCATCTCATATATTACATTGTGGATCTTCTCTGCTTTATACATAGACTTCACATAAATATATATATATTTTTCATTTTCTGAACAATATTTACAAATTTTGTATATTTTAGTGGTATTGAAGGTCTGGACGAAGATGCTGACACCAGGAGCAAAACGAAAGTGACAATAATGGAAAGTTTAAGTGGTGAAGAGGGAAACTTTGTTTCCAACGTAGGAGCAGTAATAGGAGGAAAAGTAGGAACAATTTTTGGAAAAGGCTTAGGAGGAATCGGTTCCAAACTGGGAGGAGGTACAGGCAGTTGGTTTTAAAAGTCAAGTTAGCATATGGCATAGCTTTTATTTTGTTATATTTTGTACGAAGCATATTTGACCAGATTGCGGTCAGTTTCTGTAAAAATTATACTTAACTGAAATTGTGTATATACTATTTTTTAATTCATAATTATAAATAAAATAAGTGTTAGTTCACATGTAATACAGCTATTACCTAATTATTTTAAAACACTTGAATGGAATCACTTCGGAAAATAAATTAAGCCCAAAAAATAGCTTAAGGGACCAGAGATCTTGTTTCAAATAGATTTTAATTTAAGCCTGGATTGCTAAATTGACTTCCAGGTTGATTTTGTATATATTGGCAATGTTATATACAGATATGATTATTCAAGTGTTTTATTCGAATTGTAAATGAATTTAAATATTATGTCATTTTATAGCATTATTTTGTTCGTTAACTTTTAAATTTTATAGGTTGCCATAGTTTTAAGAAAATTTGTGGTTAAAATAATTTAAAAAATATTGCACAAAGATAGGGGAGCCCTATCAGTTGTTTAACATTTGTTTATAGTTATTCAATTTAAAATGTTTGTCTTTTGTACTGGATATAAATAACTATATATATCATATTCTACTATTCGAAAAATTAAACATATCGTATAGAGTTGAAAAATTATAATTTTTGTAAAACTAATGAAAACTAAAGAAAAGAAAAGTTATATCACATCTAGAATATTTCATAACAAATATTTAAAAACGAAGACGAATTTTGTCTTTTGTATGATGAAATTTTTAAATATATTTTCATAACTAGATTCTTTCAAGTTAATATGGTCGAATATTTTTATTTGTATTTAATTTTACTTTGTAAGTTCAAACATTAGACAATGTCTTACTAACGCAGGATATTTCGATAATGGTAAAAGTATATCGGACTGAGCTGGTTGAAATGAGAATAGCATTCATGGAATAAACATCCTTTAATTCGGTTAAAAAAAGCTTCAGATAATCCAAAATCATTTAAATCTAACGACAGAGTATCTTATAATAGATAATAGATCTCTGTTTTACATGTAATAAGTATCTACCAGCCCTAGACAAACACTAAGGTCAACTCCAATAATCTGTACTAAATTTTAAAACAAAGATAAAACATTATTTAAATTGATACTTAAACTGAACGTACAAAAAGTATACCGGTATATGCAATGATTTATTAGAAAAGTATATTTCTAAAGTGAAGATTTAAATATTAAACTTTACACTCTATTCAAACGCCCTATTTTATAATAAACAAATATATCCGCACGCTACTGGGACCGTCTAAACTAGATAAATGTTGAGGTTTGCTGCGCGAGATACTTTCGCGTTGTTATAAATTCAACTTATGATTATTTCTTATTCTTTGGTAAACGTCAGAGCAGTGGCGTTTCAAAAATAAACTTATTATGTTTAAATTTAAATCCGTAATTATAACACTAATATTACTTATTTATTATTTAAATAGTAAATAAAATAACTGTTACAAAAATAGATTGCGATGTGAATTTATACATCAAAACTTATAATATTCTTGCTCATACTTTTCTTTATGAGATTGGAAAACGTAGTGGAGAACATCTTACAATTTATTAACAAATATAATTTAACATACACATTCCAAGTAAGATTATTCAAATTAAGAAGTATTTCTGTTAGGTCATTAGATAGACTCGATAAGAATTATGGTGTATATTAAACTAATGAACAAAATATAAATTATATTTATGGTGATAAATCATTTCTTAGAATTTGCCAACAATTTGAATCTGATTTGCTTTGTACATTATTACAATAGTTTATCAGCTACTATTCCATTCACTGTCAAATGTAAACTTCCCTTAAGTGAGTCCATTCGTTTCTGTTAGTTTTTTTGCATCCTTTCATGACCAGTAATTTGTTTGACATCATGGGTCTTGTGTACTCTTAATAGTCATTTTACAATTGGCTTTGTCCATTGATTGTCGTTCATTCTTTAATTTTTTCGATATTTGCACCCCAGTTCCATTTTAACACAGAAATTGTTTTAATCTGTGATGGTCGTCTCATTTCCGTATTAAGTTCATTATTCCTCAGCTTGATGTTAAGCATTATTCGTTTCAATCACGCTGATTTATCTGAGGTTTGTTGATTATACTTGCGACTCCAAAAAAGAGGCATAAAGTTGGATATTCCTACCTTTGGGTTTTCTCCTAAAATCCGAAAAAAACGTTTTAAACAAGAAATGTAGCTGAGATAATTTGAAACAAAAATTATTATTAGCACTTTTAGTGGGAGTTAGACCAGCTTTATATTGATATATCTAGGTAGATTGACACCTTTTATGTAAATGACACGAATTTTTAAAAAGAGTGGATTTAGATCATTAATATTCTATAACATGTGCTTCATTTAAAAGTTATGAGCTTTTTCAAAGGCTACTGTTAGTAGAGTAAAGAAAACACAAACAACAATAGAATGGCAAATGCTAAATAGAAAACTAAAGAATAAGAAGACAAATAAGTGTATTAAATACAACATTAAGGTTAGCAAAATGGCAATTGCAGAACTCATCATACGATATGAAGGTGAAATGTGGGATGAAGTATGAAATATGAAATGTAATAGTCGTACAGCAGAGACCTTGTGCAAATAAGAGAGGAAAAGGAGGGTTGCAAATTCGATAGGTAGACGTTATTAATTCGCAGACACGAGATGGATGAGTATAACAAGAAATAGAGAATAATGGAATGAATTAGGAAGACTTATGTCCGGTATCATCAGCAAAAACTTCTAGACCTATACCACTTGGTATTGGAATGAGTATCACGAGTGAATGGAAGACCTACAATAAGCCAACTGAACTACAACCAGTCTACAACAGATGGTTTACTTGAAAAAAAAACACGGAGAAGACAGGTGTATCAAACAGAAAACAATGGTCTATAATAAAGAGGAAAAAAGAAAAATTAATTATTTAATAACAATAATGGCATCATTTAGTCTAGTTTTTTTAGTTTTCTTTACATTTGTATGTGTAAAGATAAACATTAGATTGATCTGAGGCTTTTTTATCCTTTTATTCCATAAATGGTGTACACTATGGATATATATATATATATATATATATATATATATATATATATATATATATATATATCCATCAAATGGATCAGATGGATTGTATGACATTTAATGATTTTTCGCAGTTTCTTACACTCTGGCGTCATTCTCGGGCTCTAACTGCTAAAAACCTTTTTAACATGATTCCAAAACAGATGTAAAACATTAAAAATGAATTTATATCATGATTGAAAGATATTGTTTATTTAATTCCAAAAGTCTTCATAGAAAATGATGAAGAAGAGAAATGAAAGAATAGGTAGGGTATTTATAGAATGTGTTTCAATAAAAGAATATGGCTATCCATATGGCATAGAACGAGTTACAAGAAAATTCTGAGACTGATGATATAAAAATTAGATACTAGAAGAAAACAGTAAAAGTTACATCCATTTTGTTTTCGATCTATTTGTTTCTTCACTAATTCCTATCAATTTTTTGGAATATGTTTTAGTGCTTTCGTGGTCTAATCAACTACTTATGGAAGCTTTTAGTTTCTTTGGATCTTCACTAAATAATTAGGTTTATTTATCATGTGACTACTTTTGTCTCTGTCTTGCCGTTAGTTCTAATTCATTCAAGTCATACACGTGCGTACTGTTCATAACCAAGAAGTCTATTAAAAACTAAAAAACACAAAGAGCAATGAAACGAAATATTCTTGAAGTGTCATTGAGAGAAAATAATGGAAACACCGAAATAAGAGTAGACCAAAAATCATGGATATCGTGGAGGAGTTGGTAAAAATGAAATGACGATGAACCAGCCATAAACCAGATACGATGATAACAATAGGTAAATACAAAGGATTTTGCAGTGGAAACCAAGAGAGACGAAAAGAAGCACAAGGGGATCTCCAAGAAAACAGGTAGACGACATAACAATAGTAATGAGCAAACAGTGGATAAGATTATCCTAGGACAGAGAAATATGGAAGTAATTGAGACGTACCTAAATTCAGGAGTGATTGTATAACGGTTGACAAAAAGATAGAGAGGGATCTCATGCATATTGAACTGGTAAAAACACCGTCAAATATTAAAGAGACTGACTTAAAAAAGCGAAATAAAATTGAACTGATTCCTGTCGATATTTTCTGAGTTGCAATTTTTTTATTTTCTATGCACTTTGGAAATGCATTTTTCTTAGTATTGAATTTTATACACAATCTTTCCTGGCACTTTCCGAATCGAATGCAAAAAGTTTTTTATAAGCAAAATGCTTGTTCAATGTCGATTAATGCCTCTATTGGAGGTTATCACTCCATCTTTTGCGTGGTCGCCCGATACTTCTTCTACCTTTTGGTGATTTGTCCCTCGCTATTCTGACTAATCGGGTCTCTTCCATTCTGTTTATGTATTCGTTCCATTCCTTTTTTCTGTTCAGTGTTCCACTCATTTATTTCTGGTATATTGCATTTTCTTCTGATCTCTTCACTCCTCATTCGATCCCTCAGTGTGTTTCCTGTAATTCTCCTCAGTAAACGCATCTCCGCTGTTTCTAGTAGTTGCTGAGTTTTGGAGGTATCCGGTCTTGTCTCTGAAGTGTATGTCATTATTGGTCTTATTGTTGCTTTGTAGATTCTTGATTTCACGTCGGTATTAATGTGGGGATTGCGCCATATCGTGTTATTAAGACAACCTGCTATTTTATTAGCCTTTTGTACTTGATTTTTCACTTCCTTCTCCACATCTCCGTAGCTAGACAGTGTAATTCCTAGGTAATTTGTCTCCATTACTTGCTCAATGCTGATACCGTCGATTTCCAGTTTACATCTAATTGGTTCTTTACTGATTACAATTGTTTTAGTTTTCTGTGTAGAGATCACCATATTAAAGTCCTTTGCCCTTGTGTTGAATCTATGGGTTAGTCTTTGTAGATCGTCTTCATTGGATGCAATTAGGGCCGCATCATCTGCATAGCAGAGTATTCTGATTTCTTTGTTCCCCATTTTGTATCCTCTTCCTTTATTAATAGTATTGATGATTTCATCCATGATTAGATTGAATAGCGTTGGACTAAGCGAGTCTCCTTGTCTTATTCCATTGCCCATATC